TGGGCTGCACAGCCAGAAGGGATGTCACCCCTAACCGCAGGTAGAAACCACTGCTTTGAGACTGGGAAAAAGGGTAGCTGTTAGCCAATGTATTATACATAATGTCTTAATAATGTTTAATGCACTGGCCAAAGTTGGCCTGGAGACAATTCACGCATTCACGTTAAATATATTTTTACATACATAACCCAAACTGCACCTTAAGTAACAAAAGAACTTCATATATTTAATATGCTATATAGTTCAGTGCTTTCTTTGTGCATGTTTTCACTATTACACAAAAGTCCGTTATGAGTCAGGTTCAAACACTCGGTACCGGAGTAGTCTCGAGTTCCGCTGGCACTTTGTCGCACACAGTAAGCTTTGTTTAATTTTTGCCATGCTTCTTTGTGAAACTTTATGTTTTCAAGCTAACTGCTATCGCTAATTAAACAAAGGATGTGACGTTCTTACTTTTTTGGCTCTTGCTCAAATTCACTTTACAGTTCACTATATTTCGGAACTATAAAACTCTCCTGGTCAAGTAAGTGGATAGTTTACAAACATGAAAAAGAACCCAACCAAATAATATCGTACACACGCAATTTTATAATTTTGCGGTTGTTTTATAAAGATATATGTAACACATATACAGTATACAAAAGCCCGTGGTGGAGGGCTCGTTAGCTTAAGGGGTCGTTTCCCTCTCGAGCATGCTAAAAACATTAGCCGCTAACCTGCTAGTTAGCGTGAATGCTAACGGTAGCTCACCAGTGTTGTAAACATGGAGATCCTCCGCTATCCCTTCGTTTCCACCACCGAAAACGACGATGAGCTCCCGGATTGCGACTGCACGGTGTCCATGCCTGGACCGAGGTATCACTCCTGTAACGGAATGCACTTTCCTCCACTGCGGCTCCTCTTCGCTGCTCGTCATTTTCCCGTTGGGGAGCCCAAAGTTTGGCGCTGTAGACGTTTTAAAGATGGGGGCGGACCGGAGAGGGCATCAGGAACTTCAACCAAAGAGGAACAAACAAATAGGAAGTCTCACTCTGATCTTTGGTTTGTCTTAATTTTTTTGTATATGAGTTTTTAGGAGCTGCAGAGCAGTTCGTTAGATTAACGTGAAGAGATGGAGAACTATTCGGTGGAAGCACATATTCTTGATGCCTGTGACAATTGACTATTTGTAGTCTTTTCATCTGAAAAAATATTTCTCATTATTTATTTTTATTTTTTGGGTGGAAGGGGAAAAACACAAAGTTTTGATTTCCATTTGCGCCAAAATATGTTCTCATGTGCACAGTCTGTGTGGAGTAAATACATCATAAAGCATTTGTTTGTCTTATGAAGTTTTAACTTGTTATTGATCAGATTGTGTGTGTTGATTGGTTACCAGACAGATTAATTGTCCGTCAGTGCAACTTGGCTTCTGTCATCCTTTCTCTCATTTGTCTGTGCTGTTTTGCATGTCCTGATGCATGCTATATGGCTGTATTGTTATGATTTTCTTTCTGACTTAACATTTAAAGGTGTATTTTGTAATTACCCTAGGCAAGAAGTAAATAAAACATTCACCACCAGTGGGCAGTGTTTGGCAAGTAAGTGTCTTAAAATGGTTTCAAATGTGCATAGCTGCGCTTTCATTTTTGATGTAGCCATACCCACCATCTCGCCAAGAGCCTTTTACCTCTTTGTTATAGTGATGTGTCGGTCGCCAACGAAATGGCTCTTAGAGCCGGATCTTTGATGTGAACGATGCAAGCCGTTGGGTTTTCTTTTCCTTTCTCTCGCACCTTTTCCCACGCGAGCCTTGTGCTTTACGCTGGGATGAGGGGGAAGGGGCGGTAGTTACACTCGCAATAGTACAGGAACAGAGCGAGAGGGAAAGAGAGAGCCAGGGACAACAAGGTCACATTAGAAAGGTATAGTAATCATCCACAACTATTTTCATTTGCGGATGATAAAGGATTCAGAAAGTTTA